CAACTTTGGTTTTTTGGCAGGGCGACATGATTTGAAACCTTGCTCAGTAAGCCTTCTGCGGACTGTCATGTCAGAAACTGGCATACCAGCTTCACGAATAAGTCCCGTGAGGATTCTTCTTGGCTTCTTTCTATTGTTTACGAATATATCCCTCATTTTTCTTTCGTCTCTGGGTGTAGTGACACGCTTTCGACCACATTTTTGGGCACGCTGGTGATTCAGGGGTTTGTTGGTTTCAATTTTTTTCTTGATATTGCTCACTGTTGCTTGCGCTACTTGGCATTGTTGAGCTATCTGACGTTGGGAAAGCTTTGTATTCAATAAAAATGTCTTTATTTCCACCATTTTAGACACAGGGGCGTCTTTAGCCTTACCCATTATGATTTTCTTCTCAAAAATCGAAATGTTTTGAAAATGTCTTTAAAATTAAAACTGATATTCTTTTTTCACTCACAATCACCACTAATAAATTAATAAAACATACTACAAAGATAAAACGATACTAATCTTTCAAAAACAATACAAAAACATACAAATTCAGTTGTAAACTCCAAGCGTAAATTCACCACGATGTGTATGTTGTCACGTAATTTGACACAAATGACAGTTCTAGAGCGGTAAACGTCAAAAAAGTAAGGTTATCAGTGACAAAATATATTGGCATACTTTAATCGTATATCAGCATATAATTTTATTATAAAATTTCTGAAGAAATATGAAAAACTTAAATTTTTGTGACTGATCATAATAATTTGATCACCCACTGTCATCGAGCAATAAGACAAAAGAGGGAATGTAAAGGTAGAAGGGGTAAACATATTGATAGACAGGAAGTGCCATCTTGAGAGGCCACTTTAGACAAGGATAGACAGTCTCTTTCCTTGTTTAAGAAGTCAAATTTAGTTTGGTTATGTTATTGTTTGTCCCAACTGTCACATGAAATTTTATTTATATTGAAGTTTTTTACCAATTATGTCACTTTTTAGACTATTATCGTTAATATTTAATTAAAACTTTCTAGTCTGAAAAATATTTTATAGCTATTGTTAACAAATGTTGGAAAATTTAAATTTAGCGCCTTTGCATTTCCGGATGTGTCCGCCATCAGAGGCCACTTTTTTGGTCTCCTTTTTATAACGATTAGATTCCCTCTTTTGTCTTATTGCTCGATGCCCACTGTACATACACTGGCAAATATTACACCAATTAAGGACACAGTCCTATCCCTCAGCAGGAGGTATGCCTTAGAACCATTGCAGGTTCGAACAACCGAGCCCAACGAATATTAAAGACTCCTTGCAATAGCCAAGGGCAAATACTCACCAGGCTTCCTAAAAAAAAGTTCCGTTCCCTTCTTCACAACACTGAAACTTGTGACATGAACTCCCTGATGAGTATTTTGAAATTTTATAATCAATCTCTATTAAATTAAGAGCCGATCCTATTGTATGGCTGGTAACCCCTGAAGTACCTCGTCTGACATGCTTTTCAAAGTTTACCCAAATTCCTCTTGTGCGCTTCTTATACATCGTTCACACAGACACTCTATCTTCTGAACACCAGCTCCTTAGTAGTCCACTACTTCTCCACCAAAACATTATTCATCACATTTGTTACACCTCCAATACTCCGAAAAAAAAGGAGTACTCTTTCCATTAAGCCTAAACAAGGTTAAAACTCTGGAACCTTCAAATTGTTAGAGTTTTATTTGCGAAACGAAATATTTGCAATTTTATTATTTAATATAAAGATACAGGAGCTTAAATTGAACACTGTTCATATATTAAGAGATTTCTCAAGAACTGTTCTACCGAAATCCGTAATAATATACAGGGCAGTGTATTTAAAATAAGGGAGGTTTAGTCAACTTCTGGTATAACTGGAAGTGATAGGAGGTTATATATATATATATATATATATATATATATATATATATATATATATATATATATATATATATATTAGAATAATTGGTTACATCCAAAAACCCCATATCCAAAAATTTTCAGATAGTATGTCAAATTTTTCTAAAACGTCTAATTAAAACTTTCAAAGAATCACCCGGTATTTATAAAGACATTTTCTCGTAAAAAGCTCCATTAAACTATATTTTAATCGTCTATATTTATAATTTCTTATTTTTTTTATTTTTTAAATGTAAATGTGAAATGAAAACAATATTAAAAATAATCCACGAACATATTATTTAGAAATTTAGTTTGTTCTTACCTAAAACCAATTATTTCCTATTTTAGGTTTTTTGTATTAGCCCGAACCAATCCTGATCCAAAGGCCTCAGCAGGTAAAGCCTTTACCGCTTTCATTGTTGAAAGAGAATGGCCAGGTGTAACTCCCGGAAGGAAGGTATATATATATACATAGTTGTTATCAATACTACTGGTAGGGGAACTTGGGTCACAGTGAACCATGTTACACAGTGAACCAGCAGCCTCCACCCTTTGTCTATACTCTTTATCCCACAACTCTGATCTTCAAATCTATGCTGGTTTCACGTAAACTTGCGTCTCAGGATAACCAATGTAGAGCCATAACTACAAGCGCTTATATTCGATGGTAACCGGAGTTTTGAATACGAGTTCAATGTTTTGAATATTTCGACTTAGGCAACAATATTTAGTCATTATCCTGTCTTAAAATTATGAAAATATAAATACAACCGAATATTATATAATGTAATATATATTATATTATATAAAAAACTATTATAATTATAACAGATTCATCATTTTGGCTTTACAACCCTTTGTGAGTCCTAGCCTCCCCAAGAATTCTCTTCCAGTCGCCCCTTTCCATCGCCTTTCACCGCCAAGCTCGTATTTACATATTTCTCATATCTTATATATGTCTATGTTATCTAGTAATCTTGTTCTGGGTCTTCCTCTTCTTCTTTGACCAATAGGTCTATCAAGGAGCGTCTTTATAGCTGGGTCGGTTTGCTCCATCCGCATTACATGGCCTACCCTCCTCAGACGTCCTATCTTAATGTGTTTTACGATATCTGGTTCCTGGTATATTCTATAGAGTTCGAAGTTGTATGGTCTTCTCCAGACACCATTTTCATTTACCGCTCCATAGATTCGCCTTAGTATTTTTCTTTCGAAACATCCTAATATGTTTTTATTGCTTTTTGTTAAAGTCCAGGTTTCTGAACCATATGTTAGGGCTGGGCGTATTATTGTTTTTGTAGAGTTTTACTTTTGTATTTCTTGATATAACTGTAGATTTAAAAAGGAGATTAAACCCAAAATAGTATCTATTAGCCCTGAAAATTCTGCACTTCTACATTTCAGTATTGACGAGCGTTCCCAGGTATACAAATTCGTTAACTGCTTCGATGACGTCGTTTTCTATAACAAGTGGCCGTAGTATTTGTGGTTGCGTACCTATTTGCATGTATTTCGTTTTATTAATGTTTATTATTAAACCCATTTTTGCAGCCGCTTCCTTAGTGCTACATACGCCTCTCGTGCTGCGTTTATATATAGTCTTGACGAAACTAGTCCCCTGGCCGTGCAAAAATCTAAAGGTGCTCGCCGGGAAAGAGCAAAAACAGGTCAGCAACGTTACTAGTAGTGAACAGGAAAAGTTAGTAACTACATGTTGTATCATCAATGCTTCCGGCAATATTTTACCACCAGTCATGATTTTTCCTCGTGTCCATTTTAAGCATTACCACAACAGTACACTATTTGTAGATATGATGAAACACTGTATTAAATTCTCAAACCTTAGTAAAGAAAACCCTTGCTTACTGATATAATGTACAACTTTGAAGCTCATATTTCCATACAAGCTATTGAATTGGTGTGACAATATTAACAGTTCCTCCTCATTCTAACGGAGAGATACAACGTGACTACTTGCGTTGGGGATGCACATATGAAGGCAATGACTCCGTCAAATATTTGTAGTTGCGTTAAAAAGACCGGCATCTACCGTACGATAGAAATGTTTTTACCGACATAGACTTCTTGCCAAGTGAAGTTACTACAGGCCCATTACTGAAAATGATGGAAATACTCCAGATGGGCAAATCTTCTGGCATCAGTGGCAGTCGGAGCAGAACGTAGTAGCAGTAGAACTCCTGACTCTGAGGCTGAAATAGCTTTGGAATTTATAACTCTTAATCAATTCCGATGGCTGCCAAAGGCTGGACCGAGGAAAAATAACAGGCAACCAAAACGAAAAGGCAAATCTATGATAGCCACGCACACCCCAGAAAAAATGGAAATTGAGGAGCTCGGAGCAGAAAAGTAGAGAAAAAGGAAAGCGCAACTCATAAAAAAAGTGTTTACCAGAAGATACATCAGATTAAGAAGAAACGTTCAGTGTTCATTCTGAGGAAGAAGACTATTATGAATGTGGTAATGAGGAGACTCAGACTCTTTTAAGCTATTATAAAAGTTATCCAGTGAAGAAGACTATTTATTAGTTAAATTCAACTTAAGAAACCTGCTGATACTCTGTACCCCCATTTGCTTCATTTTTACTCATAACCTGTTTCACTGTTCACAAGGACAGCGGCACACTGAAGATCATACCTTATAGCATTTTATCATCCGAATTTTAGACATATATGTATATTCTTTCCTGAATTATACCACATCAAATAAAAACTGGTTCACTGTAACCCAAGCTCTCCTACCCGGCATCTTTTTTTTTTAGAAAGAATTTACTTACTTGCTTGTTCTTCAGATTTCCTTTTATTTCTCTGATTAATTGTTCCTGATACTCCTTCTTTATTCTTTTCATTGTGTAATAAAAACGATTAGGCAAAAATAAATTTTTTGTTTGTGTTTTGTTTTTTGAATGTTTTTAACTTTTGTTTGTTGATTCGTGATTCCTTTGGTAAATTTTTACTTTGTTTGTGTAGGTTTACTTTTGTTTATTTGCTTGTTAGTCAGTTCACTATGATATATTGCTTTTTATTTCCTTGTTTGTAGTTTATTTTTTATTACTGATCAATTTAGGAAATCAACATGGGACAGAGAGCTTCTGATACCAGAGGAATAACATTTGAAGATGTCCGTATACCAAAAGAAAATGTACTTGGTGTTCCAGGAGCTGGATTTAAAATAGCTATGTCAACTTTTGACTTTACTAGACCTATTGTGAGTATATTGTTCATAAACTATATATCTATCTAAACTAACTACTAAAGATCTTATTATTCTGAATAAAGATCTTATATATTTCTCAAGGGCTTAGGTCTTCCTCGAAACGAGACATCATTATTTTATTAAATTGGTACTTCAACATTTCTGATAAATTCTTACATACCAACAGTCATTTTATCAATTTGGGATTTTTATGAACAAGAACAAATATTATAAGTACAAACTACAACTACTGAGTCATTATTAATTTTACTTTATTACAAAACATTTTTTATTCACTAATATTTTAGGTGGCTGCAGGAGCTATCGGTTTAGCCCAACGTGCGTTAGACGAAGCTACCAAATACTCCATGGAAAGAAAAACTTTCGGTGCCCCAATTGCCAAACACCAAGCTATAGCTTTCATTTTGGCAGACATGGCCATCGGGATAGAAACATCCCGTTTAGCTTGTATTAAATCCGCCTGGGAAATCGACAACGGAATAAAAAATACCCTCACAGCTTCAATAGCTAAAGCTTACGCCTCTGATGTAGCAAACAAGTGTGCAAGTGACGCAGTTCAAATATTCGGGGGCAATGGATTCAACAGCGAATACCCGGTAGAAAAATTAATGAGGGATGCAAAAATTTTTCAGATTTATGAAGGAACTTCCCAGATTCAGAGAATTATTATTTCAAGGGCGCTTTTTGAAAATGCTAAGCAAACTATGTAGTTTCCTAATTTGTAGTTTTAAACAAATAGTTAATTCTCAGCCAAAAGCGTTCACTAAATCATAGTAAAATCTTAGCATTTTATTTTCTACTTCCCTTAAATAAGTTGAAAAACATTTTTTAATGTTTGTGAATAACTTCTGACTGACCTAAATTAATAAAAAAAGAGTGATTGACATGTTTGCTACCTGGAATGTAGGCAATACTTTATACACGACATATTTTGTCAGTATAATTTATATTTTTTTATTTAAATAAATGTTTACAATTTTGTTGTTTTATTTATAAATCGCAATATAATATGGAAGTAGATAATATAAATAAGAAATCGATATTTTTTGGTAGTCAGGTAAGGAAAGAAATGCCTGAATAAAACATACATCAGGCGTTTAGGTATGTATAAGTAGGAGAAATTCGAATTAAAATAATGACAAAAAGATTGATTAGATCAATAACGATATCAACATTTATTAGAAAGAGAGGAGACCCTGAGAGATGTTTTGGATAAATCGAAAATAATTCTGTAGCTATGCCGTTTATTTGATTGACTGGTAACTTATATTTTTGAGATTTCAAAATCATTTGCTTTCTGTATAACGTATAACAGCTGTTTATATTTATTTTTACCATAATGTATCTTAACCTTTAATGCTTAACAACAAATATGTATTTCTACTGTTTGTAAGGTAGGATAACTCCCGTATTAATTACAAATTAAAACCTTTATTTTAAAATCCGATATCGTAAAATATCCTAATTTGTGTTTATAAATAATAAATACACATAAATAATTGCTTATCTTGCACAAGTAATTTTGTGTAATAATACCTCATGGTTGGCGCCGAAATTTAAATTTTGAGAACGCTTGCGCGATGATTCTCCTCGTGCTATATGGAATGCAAAGTATTTTTCCAAATTGTAGCATTAAAGCGAATAGTAAATGAATAAAACATACATCTTTAGGCATTATAAATACAACCTGAATTCGAATACCAGTTATGTAATACGAATAGACGCAACAGAATGAATAAACAACTTTGACCTACTTAATATCGAGAAAGTCTACCGAGCATTGTATTTAATCAAAAAGTAAATTAAAAGCCATTTGAGCCAGATAAATTTTTATTAAAAATCGTAAAAGGATTTATTTGACATATTAGATACGTTTAGAGGATGAAAATGCGAATGAACAATTTCAGGTTATGTAAGCAGCAGCACGCTTGACCAGTGCAGTCATGTCTGTCTGTCTGAATGCAAAGTGTAAGCGAAGTGGCCTAGAGACCTACATTTATACACGGTTCGATTTTACATCATTGTGAGAAATAGATATTTGTGAAACCTTGGCGCGAATTTGAAGGTCGAGATTTCTTTGGACCTTGAGGCGTGGTGAATTAGTTTATCATTTCGGGATAAGTGCGTAATTGAATAAACAATGCATGAAGAAACGTCGGGTATGAGCGTTCCCAGCTCTGTTGCCGTATCTACCGTCGTACAAAATGAAAACGGCACGTCTACTACGGTTTCTGTGGTCAATGCCGATGCCGAGGTGGAATTGGAAGTTGTAACAGACAATGACAATGTAGAATTGCAAGTGCCTTTCTCCACTAATTCAGGAGGTAATTTCCCGTGCATGCCATTTACTATTTTGCAGGTTATATAATTAAAATATCATGTTTATTAAACCTGTTTTTGGTGTAAATTCTCTCAGTGTAGAAAACTCACTTTTGTTTGTTCATTTCCATGCCGTGATTATGCGAAAGTGATATTGAAAGCGAAATTAACGACTACCATGTCTGTCTGCAAGTCTGCATGTAAGTAGGATACGGCAACGGTGTTTCTTGTTCTCTTAACTTGTCCTAGGTTACGCCGAGGAAAAGGACATCCTATCTCAAACTCTAAATTATTAGCTACACACCACTCTAAATCTAACAAAAAAATAAATCAACTATCATTGCAATAGTGCATTATTATGCTAATTATTCTATGCATTCCTTGACCTAGTCTTGCACCTAAATTGGCTATTATCTAGGCTACCCCTGGAATCTGTGTGCCTTGCTTTCACAGGACAGGTCAGGTTCAAGTGCAGGTGCAAGTAGATTCTTCTGGGCTGATTGAGGTTCGCGCTTGCGTTGACTGTTTCTTAAACTTTGTTATGGTTTTTTAGATGTTATTTTATTGACATATAAAAGCTTACACTTTTGTTTATACATTGGTGTCTCTTATTTAGCGGTTGCATGAATGTTTTCTATCTAAAATCATTATTAAATTAACAGAAAATTGTCTGTCAGTATTTCTTTCTATTGTTTTGACAGCCCGGCCATGTGCATTTCTAAACATACGAGGGTCATACAAAATGTGTATTTATTTACATTTAGATAAGAGTAACTATTTTCATTTTGTTGATTACTTTGAAACTTATACTTTAGGTTATCACCTGATTTCTTTTTGTTATATACTTGGAACACATAATTCAATAAAAAAAATCTCATTCCTTTTTACATCTCAACTATTTTGATAGTTTGACATTGTGTATCATACAAGAGTCATATCAACTTTACATTGTATTTAATTATACCAATTTGTAATGCTATGTTCTTTCCGCATAAAGTATTGTTCTCTTTTTTATTTAAGCTGTTAAATTAACTAAACTTACAAACCCATGTTATCTTCCCCAGCTGCTGCCAGGTTTATGCAAAAATATCTCAATATTTATTAATAATCAAAGAAGTTTACATTTTTTTTATAATAGAGAATAGTTTCAATGAATGTTTGTAGGTTAATGAAAGTTTTCTATGTAGTATTTCTGATTTTCAATTTAGTGAAACTTTTCGTTAGTCTTATTTATTCCTGTTACTTTTATCAGCATCTTTCGAACACTTACACACAAGCCTTCATTGCACAATCAAGTTTGATGCCACCTACTGGATCTTTAATATACAAAAGTATCGAACAAATCATTCAGGTTCACTTTTAATGTGTAATAAATATCAATGGAAAATCACATGATTAACAATACTACAAAACTTTTGAAAATTAAACTAATTGTAAATCTTTAATTTAATTCTTCAAGGCATATATTACTGATACTTATACACATTCATAATAAAACTTCAGGATTAAATTAATAATTGAGAATGTCACTTGAAAATAAAATCGTGCATCACATTAAAAGATAATAATACACATACATGCATAAAAAGTGATGTTCTTAAAATGTTAACAAATTTTGACCTTAAATCACTTTTTTATTTATAAAATAGAAGAAAAATCATCCCAGATTAATTCACACTAATTCACATAAGGCCAGATTTATGCATATTATATGAGAAAAATAATTTGTTTCTATCTTCTATGTTAAAGACAATCCTCGGCTGAAACATTTCAGCATAGACTATTTCCTATAATATTACTTTTTCATTGATTTTGATACATCAATTTGCTTTAAACTTATGGCTTATTCTCTGGTTCTTTAAACTTATAATGCTTATTAAAGCATTGCATTTTCTTTACATATTCTTAACTTTGACAATATTTGTCGAACAATTAATAGCTGAAAGATAACTACCACATAACGTTCGGTAGGTATACAGTATATTAAATAATCTTAATTGTGTTTTGATAAGATGAAAACCTGACCTATGAGGTCATGAGCTACTTGAATGAATATTTTAGGTAAATCCTAAATAATTTCTGGATTCACTGAATGCATCATACTATCTTATTTTATATCAACTAAATTTGTAATCAAAGAAAAATCAAACAAGTAGCCCTCATCCTACTCAACGAAGAAAAATATGTAGCAAACCCATCAGCAGAATGTAGCTGGCTTTGGTTGCCAATGTTAAAAGAAGTCAAGTCAACAACAAGAATATACGAATAATAGCCGAGTAATAGGAGGTCAAACACATTGTCTTCAATCTAACACACAGCGAATATGCAACACACTATACACACATAAATAAATCAATTTTTTGCTCAATTAATGTTAAACAACCGTAACATGATATCATTTTTTTTACACAAACATATAACATGGAACACACAAAAACAGTCAGAATTTGTTATTCCTAGAGGTAAAAACATCACCCCTTAAAATGTGTTGTAGCCACTATCCTATGGGCTGTTGGACTTCAAGGTATAGGTCAAGCAAGTTCACTTTGAAATTATTTAACCAGTAACAAAATCTTTGGTTTTATCATTATTACATAATTTATACAAAAAACCTTTTATGAGAATGATTTTTGGAGTGGAAATCAAAATGTCCAATATTAGTTAATTAAAAATGTGATTTTGATCACCATCACAACCTCAGTGTGGCTTAATCACATAAAAACATAAAATTTAACTAAATTTGTCTTTGAGAATTGTTGGATTTGGAGTTGTGTACATTTAAGAAGCAAAAAAGTGTTTAGATGGATTCTTATTTTCATATCAACTAAATTTGTCACTGAGAATCATTGGATTTGGAGTTGTGTACATCTAAATAATAATAAAAAAAAGTACTTAGATGAATGCGGACTTATTCACTACTTGATTTAAGAGTTTGTACCCTTGGTTTCCAGGTTTTTTGTAAAGGAATGAACTTTCAATCAAAGCAGTAGTAGATATTAGTGGAGAGCTCACCTTTATGTCTTGGTGAAAATCTTGTGGGCGAAATTAATGTTACCAACATGAATCAAACCATTCTGAAATTATTTTACCTGGATATTTCTGCTGTTCAAGAATCCTACTCAAAAGTTTTGATGATACTGAAGGAAAATATTTCATTGAGTAAATTTGCTTTTAAATCAAAAGACCAGCACAAAATGCTTTCTTTCTTTTACTAGCAATACAAAGAAAGGGAAAAATTGTTTGAAAATGAAACACTTAGAAGTTGTAAAAATGCCACAAAAAATATGTTACCTAGTTATATTAACCGATTTTAAAGAATTCTGTATTGAAAAAATAGCAGGTATTTTGGACTGCCGAGGAAGTTGATGACGATAATGGCATAGAGCAACGTGTATGATAAATAACTTATCACTCATCAAGAAGATTTCACTAATTTGGAAAAGTATTGCTTTGTGTTAAACAAGAATCAGAAGTAACTCACCTAACAGCAAAAATGAGATCAAATATGAAGCAAATATGTATCAAAAGAATTTTGTAGTGGAAAATATCTACAATGTTTCAGAAAGATAGATACACATTTATTGTTTTTAAAAACAAGTTTTGTAACAATGAGTTTAGAAAGTGTACACAAACTAGTACTAGTATTACTAATCTAGTATATAAGTATTATTAAATGTAAATAAATATCTGCAATGTTCCTCTTATATCACTTTTATTATTCGATAATTTGTATGATGTGTATTTCGTAAGTTATTTTGGATAATCGGAATTCTACTCTATATACCCGTATTTATCTACAATTATTATTGATAATAACACCGACACAATTATACAATATTTTTTACCTAAATTTTGACATTTGTTTGTTACACTCTGTATAAAAAAAATCTACCAATAAGAGGATTGTAATTCGTAAATTTGAACTTTTAAAGTTACAGAGATTAAATTTGATGATAGGAAGAGAGGGGAAAATCAAATGCTTGAATGGCAATTTAAAAATCAATAATTTTAAATACAATCAAGTATTTTTCTCCAGTATAAGCTCCAGCATAAATATACATTTGAAAACTCCAGAGGGCACAAATCTATGATTGATTTTATAGTCACTAATACAAAAATCCACCCAAAACAGATTATAGACATTCGAACTTTAAACTCAGCAGACGCAGGTCGTGAACACAAACTAGTAGAGTGCGCGCAAGCACTCTTGACCACGACGCAGTAGATGAAATTTGGTTTAGTCACCACTTCCGTGTGAAACGCATTGTACTATGCACTGTATAATTCCATTTACAATAGAACTTTTCTGCCTTTACGTGAATTTGACTCCGCCTTCGCGCAGCTCCATGGTCAAGAGTGCTTGCGCGCACTATACTAGCAAACATAAGAATGAAAATAACACCAAAACTACAGGTAATCACCGAATTAAAATTCAGTGTAGAATCATTGTGGAACGACTATACAAGAGAAATGTATCAAAGAAGGCTAGCACAGAAGACACAACCGAAAGAAATAGACGACATCGAAGATATAAACGCGAGCTGGGAGAAAATTAAAATCAACATTGAAGAAGCAACAGAAACTCTAGGAAAACGCGGAAAAAGTCACACGGAACAAAAGAAACAACAACAATACACCATGGTTCAGAACAGAAATAAAAGAGAAATGTGAAGAGAAACGAGAGACAAAACATCAAATACTCCAGAATCCCGACACACCTATAGAAGAATACGAAATTAAACAAAGCAGTTGGTAAGAACAAAAAATGAACACTGAGAACAGTTTACAAAAAGGATGGAAAGCCACTTCTACGGTACACAAAAACAAATATGGAGATTCATAAGAAACTAACGGAAAGAAATGGCAGAATTGAAGGAATACAATAACATACCAGCAAATGAACGGGACAGATATCTGACGGAACTGTTTAAAGGAAAGGAAAATAATTATTAACACAATGATGTACCTGAATTTAGACACGAAATAGAAATCAGTTTTCAGGAAA